GTTCAAAAATGAAGAGAAGAGAAAACTCCATTAGCCGTCTCCATCATCCTAATCAAAACTACGAATGTCATCGCGGGGACACTCAAACTGATAAGCGCCACCAGACCCAGACCCACACTCGGCCTGCAATTCATCAGCTGCACCTGCAACAATCCAACACCTCTGCAAATCAACTCGTCGTAACCAGCATAGAGCTCCTTCTCCCACTCCATCCACTCCGCCGGTGGCTCGTAATTTCTCTCCACCATTTTCATCTCATGGATTCTTTTCCTCAACACAATCATCTGCTCATCAACGACTTGTCCCTCTCTCCAGTATTCGTACGAATCTCTTCTCCTCCCAAACGCAATGCCTCTAATTTTTCTGCCACGCTGCCGAAATCCCACTGGTTTTCTGGAAAAAGATGCCAAAGAAGGTTTCAGCGTTGGGGAAGAAAGACTGGTGGAATACTCCATTGTTGAGTTCTTTTCTAAATAAAAATTTTTCCTGGGTTTTTGGAATAAGTTTTCAGGTGGAAAGATTGATGGGAAGAAGAGGAGATCTGGGTTTGTATATTTATAGAGAAGAAGATGAGGAGGTAACGTTCAAGTAAGAGCTTGGTTTTGAAGGTTTGACCTAAATAATCCAGGCGGTGCTACGTGTCGGGTTTTAGGTTAGTGCTTGTTAGTTGATCTGAATAGCTGGCTAATTAAGAGAGTCGGTGCATTTAGGGATAAAGAAAATAAATAAGTAAAATATTCAGCAATGAAATGAAGAAGAAAGTCAAACACAATTATATATATATATATAAGTTGCGTTTATAATAAGTTTCAGCTTATTGTGGGAGTGTGGCTTACAGGGCTTTTAATATGTACTTGCTAAAAAGGCAGGGATGATCCACATGGTATCATATGAACATTATTACTCTCATCTTAACTTGAATAATACTAGATATTAAAAGAATTCAATAATGCTATCCCAATTTCCTTCGTTTTTTTTTATAAATATATTCAATGTTTCTAAACAGGTTGCTATAGATACACTTTACTATAGTATGATCCTATACCACTGATTTCAGAAACGGAGGAAAGGGAAAACTAAACAGTACCAAGAGGTATCAACCGAAGAAGATTCTTTTCCTTCTCTCTTTTCGGAAGAAAGGGAGGATCGGAAAAAATTATAAAACGAAGAAATCCCGGATGAGAGGAAACTCTCAAGTCCGGTTTTGAAGGGGGGAGGTTTACTCAGCATGGATCATTTAACATGAATATGCTGTCTAAAATTATCTTATAGATCTTCTGTTTCTTTCTGTAATTTCGCTTGTTTTCACAAGGGATATCATCGATGATCATCGACGAACAGAGTTTTAGTTTATATGACAAAAGAACATAAACTCACCTATCTAAGGTGCTTCTTCATTTTGAACACATATAAATTGGCAATGAATGTTTAAACATTCACGTCATATGCCATATTTGAATATATAAGGTTGCATTACAAATTCCATTTTTGTAAGAGTGATTGCCAAACAGAAAATCTATAGGAGAATCATTCAAATCACACATGAAAATTCTGGACAAGGCACTGACTATATTACTGGGAAAACGATGCCAGATGATTAATGACTCTTGCCCAAGCTTTGATGGACTAATAACATTTTGAATATATGAAAGAATGTATCTACAAAGACCAATGATTTCTGGTTAGAGGTGATAAAACGAACACATTCGTCATTGATTTGTTGAGGAAAGATAAAGATATTATACTTGGACTTACAGTGTGCCAACACAATTTTAGTGCACAAAAAAAAAAGGTCAAGAATCTTGAATGAATTGAGTGATTCATACTTGCGAATGGAAGGCTGTGACAATAAATCAGTCATCATAGGAGGAGTGAGGAGCAGCAGTGCATCCAGGGTCAAACGGGTCCTCAGAGCCACAACAGTGCCAGTACTGGAAAACTTTGCCGGAGTCTGGAGAATTCATAGTTCCACCAGTATAGACACTCTCAAACTTTCTCTTTGTTTCTCCTGAATGAGCAGAGTTAAAAAAGAGGTTGAAATTTCCAAAGAACTTGCTTTTAGCAAGCAAAGCAGGAAAAAGTTGAACAAGATAGAGAAAATTTTAAGGTGAAGATGCACTTAACGGTAGGAGTTATTGAAGTAGTAAATTTTGAATAATTGTGATGAGAAGTCTGTAGTTTGACCAAGTATCTAAAACAAGATCGAGATACTATTTAATTAGCAGAAATATGAAGTTTCAAAAATGTCTTTAAACAGGTAGAATCTAGGTATGACCATATACTACCAAAGAGTTTTATGATGATTTTCATGGGTTTGCAAAATGAAAAGAGGTACAAGTAACTACTAACATATTCCTGTTAACTACTTGAGAACTTTTACCAAATAAGAAGCATAGCCCTAGCATTTGGACAACTAAAAAGAGAATGCTCCTAACCAACTCTTGGAAGCATTACCTAAATGATAAAAGGCAAGAAATACACATACAGTTACACATAGACTAGTCAGAATATTCTTCAAAGTTTACAGACACCTCGTTTATCATACAGATTATGAGGCCAAAGAAAAACTTCCAAGCATCTCATCTTCCCTACTCGTTAATATGACATAGTATCTTATAGCTTTGCATCAATAGAAGCAGAAAAGTTCTTTTATCATTAAGCAATAACTCTTTTTTTTTTTTGAAATATACATATATATATATATATATATAGAGTTATTAGACTTTAAGCACATCAACATAGTACCTCCATAAGAACATATCGGGATTCAATTTTTCATTCTTAAACTCCCAATTAAAAGGTTTAGCGTAAATCTAGGTAACAGCTTGATAATTCACCACCTTAAATTCACAATCACGTTATGATTGCAACAAATTCAAAAAGTAATTCCCCATATTAATAAAAGTTAGAAGGAGAATTCATTGACCACAATCTATAATGCCACAGATATTTCATGAGCAATTTCATTGTGCTCAACTTCGCAGGCCCTTAGCCTTCCAAAGCTTGGGGAGAAAGTCTCTCAGCTATTATATCAGGAATTGGTTAAAAAAGAACTGCACAGCTGCAAAGCACATTGAACCTCTTTCAAATCTAACTTTGCTCTCCATTTTCATATCCCTATGGGGCTCTGTCCATAATCCATATAGACTTCATGATTTAGATTGTCATCATTGAATTATGAAAACTTGCCTTTCGTCAGCCATATTTTTAAGCTTCTTCTAAATTTCCCTAATAAAACATTTTTACTAGTAATCTCTTCTCATCATTCCTCGTAATGATTGAAAGATGGAACAGATTCTAGTTTCTGGCAGAAGAAAATAAAAGAACAAGGACTCGATTACAAGATGATTCACAACCATCAAGTTGGATTTCTAAATAACAGTCATATTGTGTACATTCTTCAATGAGTCAATCTCTCAATCTCAAAATTAAGTTTCTCAATGAACACATTGATTTCCTCCTCCTTTTTTCCCCTATAAAAGGCTAAGCTAGAGAAACAATCAGATGATGATTATCCACACAAACTATGCACTAATCAAACAACAAAAGCGGAGGAACACAAGGATGGTAAAATTAAACTTCCATCAATATGATTGATGAAGAAACAAGATTACCTCCGTAATGAGCGGTGTGAAAGCGGCAAGCACGAGGATGATTGAGCAAAGGATCGAACTGAGTTTTGCAATTTTTGCAAGTTCTAAGGGCGTTCCTATTGTTGGAATCTGCAGAGCATTGAATTGAACCAGAAAATCTCGGTGCATGTAAGCTTGTCTTGCCGTTTCTTTTAAGGAACCGAAGAGAAATTCGGGAGTAAAGTTTCGGTGAGGAATCAAAAGATGATAGAGAAAATGAGCAAGAAGGAAAGGTAACAGCCATGTCTCCCTGTTAGATGTAATTGAAAAGGAAAGTGGGTGCTTCTAGCCACACATGGCTAAAACCGGTTACCTAGTGAACCGGTAAAGGAAAGGAATAAAGAAAAGGAAAAAAAGTCCAACTATTTAAATATATAAATATAATATAATATTAATAATATTTACTGTAAAAAATAATTTTTATCTGAAATATGACATCATATTCCTTAAATTGCATTCTAAAATTAATAATAACTAATAAAAAGTATCTAATGTAATTAAAATTTTAAGTATTAAAGTTATTAAATAATATATTCTAAAACATTTTTACTTAAATTGTTTTGAAATTATTATTTAATTTTAACATAAAAATTATTTAAACCTAAAAAATGCCAATAAATTAATAATATGTTCTTGAAGAAATATTAAATTAATAAAATATAAATTCATTAAATATACTAATTAAGAATACTATTTACCTCTACACAAAATATGTTTTAAAAATATATATTTAATTTTTATTTTTTATTAAAATTTCGAAATAAATTATTTTTATTAGAATTAAATGTTAATCGAAATTTTACTTTTCATAATAAAAGCAAAAACATATAAACAAAAAAAAACTGGCAACTGGGAAAACAGGTGAAAAAGGCCATACAGAACTCCGCCTGTCTGAAAGTACCAAACTAGCCTTATCTTTTGATGCTCTGTCGCAAAAATCTTCCTACCCAAAAGAAAACCCAATTGGAACTCTAATAAAAACCCTAGAATTTTGCACTCTCAATTCTCTTTCTAATGAACATATCTGATCTCTTCCGTGAATTTTATCGAGTCGAGTATGGCAAACAACCGCAATGAAGAGCCAAGCACAGCTCCGCAGCCCAATAAATGGTATGACATCACCTTAGGCCCCTCTTTCAAAGACAACCGCCATTACTCTCCCAAGTTCTGCACTCTGCGCTGTAAGTAACCTTGTATATATATCAAAGAAAACCTAGCTCCTTTTCTCGACTCTTTTTGTTTCCTGAGAAAAAGGTAGACACGGAGGTTAATCTTAAACGCTGTAAGATATATCTGCATGGAAGATGCAGGGGGTTTTGGTGAAATTCTTGTTATTTTCTCTGTTCTCCATTTATTTCTATTATCATTATTTGAAGGAAAATGCATCCAGAAAATAAGTACTTGGAATTCATTGTCAATAGATTTTTCTTTTATGTTTATTTTTTTCTCCTTAATTTCTGTCTTTTTAGAGAATTGTCTGAAAGAGTAAGAAGGATAATTTGTATAAGTTTCTTTTCTTTCTTTTTTTTTTTTTAATTTCCTAATTTCAGATGAATTTAAACCGGCTTCAATTGATAACCACCAACCAGGATACATGCACAAGAGCAAAGACAATAGGGTTAATGTGGAATTTCAGAACAATCAGCCTGGGAAACCCAAAGTAAGTTTTGAGGGTGTCAGTGAGGATTACAAGGATAATGATGCCGTATTATTCTTTGATGGTGAGGTCCTTCGATTGGAGAGGCTGCATCGAGCTGTGAAGAGATTGAGACATGTACGTCTACCAGGAGAATCGACAGCTTCAGCTGCACCAGTTGCTGCTGCTTCAGTTTCTCCAGCAACAGAATCTCATTCACCACTAGGCAGTAGAGAAGCCAAACTTCAACCTTCGAGCACAGACATAGTTCGGCCAGTGAGTTTACTAAGTATTAGTGGCATGAAAATATTAGCTGTCTGATTTCAAATAGAAAAAGAAAATCTTAGCTGTCATCACCCATTTGAAATATCCATTTAGAAAGCAATTATTATGTTTTCTAGTGTAAATTTTCTTTGTTCCAGATCAAAAGTTCTCTCAGCTTGAAGTTTAAACACTTTCTCTGTGTTCTCTAAACTATAAAATATTCTGCACTGAGTTGGTTTTAGTTTGCGACCTAATTAGGAGTATGTTTCATTTTGATGATTAACCTCCTTGCTAAGGTTGAAGTACACACTTACCTGGGTTCTGCCAAACTATATGAAGTTTGGCATTGAGTTAGTTCTAGTTTGTGGCTCGGGTAAGAGTGTTACATGCTGATGCCTAACCTCTTCTTGGAGATAATATCTGATGGTGCAACTAAGGTTAAATGTTTCTTTTTAACTTTATCATAAATTTTCCAGAGTTGGGCTTGAACCTGGATCACTTCTATGGAGGTGACAGGAAGTAACCACCCTACCTGGTGCAGGTGGTTAACTGTGATTATATGTTCTTAGTGCTGAACTAATGATGCCATTAACTAAACCATTTTTTGTACTTGGTCCTTGTCTATGTTGCTTTAAGCACTGAATGCTTATATTTCTTTCACGCCATATCATGCATTTCCATGATCATATTCATCTTTTGACCCAGAAAAAAACATAATGAAACAAAATTTTGCAGGTTCGGCGTGAACATATTGACTTCGACAAGCCAGAGTGCTTAGGTACTCTCTTCCTTTCTCCCTCCAATTTCTATTCCAAATGTAAATATAGTGGTTCATAATGCCTTCTTCTATCATAAACTTATCTCTTTGCAACTTTAATTGCACTAAAAGATCACAGTAAAGCTGCTTTTTTTTCTAGATTTACATTTCATTGTACTATGTCAGTTATTCTGAAATGAGGAATTAAGCTTTGCTACTGCCCATCCCATGCAGAGCCTGAAAACGAGAAGCATGAGCAGCACCTATCTTCTCTTGCCAATTCTTCAGCAGCATCACAAGATCTTAAGGATTATGAATCCGAGGAACATATAGAAATTGATGACGATCTTGATTACAACTATTCAGGAGCAACCAAGAGAGAAAATGCCTCCAATAGGGAATTCCAGACGGGTGGTATTGATATTAACATTAATATACCACATCCAGTTGACGTGGATGATGAGATTGCTGATGTAGATGTCAGCGGTGATGAAGCAGACACAGGCCATAATGCTGCAGAAGCTCTTCGAGCTCAGGTGAATGCTGAGGGGAGAGGAGAGAATGCTTCAAGTTCAAGCAGCAGCAGTGGAAGTGAGAGTAGCAAGAGTGGAAGTGGAAGCGGAAGCGGTAGTGGAAGCAAAAGTGACAGTGGTAATAGCAGCAGCAGTAGTAGCGAAACAAGTAGCACTGATAGTAAAAGCAGTGATGGTGACTCAGTCTCATCAGTATAATGGGAAAAGCCTTCCAAGTTATGTAACTGTAATATCCATTGTCTATGTTACTGTATTTGTAAATCCTAGTTTATGTTATTTGTTTGCTAATAAATGCTTTCTGAGTGAGAGTCATCAGCTGAACCAACTAATTCTGTTTGTAAATGAAACATGTATCGTGTAAATATGTATACCCAGAAGATTATCTCTACCTGCCTTTTGTTAATTCTTTTGTATCTTGCTAAACAAAAGATCATTATCCATTATAAAATGACAAGATCTACTAAACAAAAGTGACATTCAAGACATGGAACCATTCTGAAACAAGATAAAGAATTTTCTCCTTCCAACTCTTTGGAGGCATCTCTCAGTGGCTGATGACCACATCCGTTACAAGGTATGGCTGCTCCGAGAGTGTTCATACAGGATCAGGCATAGGCGCACAGAAACTAGGAAGCAGTACAACTTGCAGAATGTCATACAGGTGCAGGTGTGTCCTTCCCTTGTTCTGTGCCTCTGTCCTCGTCACTTCCTTTACCTGCTGCATATCCATTTTGGAAAATTTTATGCTCTGATGGCAAATTCTTTTTTGCTTTTCTGCTACCTTCAACCTTCCACAGATCCCACACCCGTGTTTTAGGGGGAGGTACTGCATCTGCAGTCGGTGCAACTAATCCTGGTTTCCCATCATCAATAACTGCATCTACTAATCCGTACTCCTTGGCCTCCCACGGACTCATGAAATTATCCCGATCTGTGTCCACCTCAATCTACAAATTGCACAAAAGGAAAATAGGAGATGAGAGCAGAAAGAGAAAGGATATGGATTAATGTATTAGTATATGTATGTATGCGTGTCTATAACAAAAATAATTTATGCCTACCTGTTGCTCGGGCTTCCCTGTAATTCTAGACAGTATCTTGTTCAGCTTAACCTTGTGGTAGACCATTTCCCTTATCCGGATGCTCATCTCTGTTGCCTGAATGGGCATGCAAAATCTGGTG